GCCATGATCTAAAGGCCGCTTAGTTCTGGTTAGACTAGCAAGTTCATGGCTTATTTATACGTTGTTTGTAACTCATTTCCGAACACGTTATCAATAAACGAGAATTTTCGAGTCTCTTACTATTTAACAAATATATTGTCGAACTCACGTATCAATTTAGATTGGCACATTCTCACAAAATAAATTTTGCAAAGAGATGAAATAGTCACGTGGAGTTGAAGAATCTATTTAATTGATCTCATTGACATTTGATTCTCCTTCAATACTTCCGGTCCGGTGTAAAATGTCTATGAAAGAGTCGATCGTATTCCGTTTGCAACACAATCGAAATTCTAATAGAAAATCTATAAATAAAACACAAATCCATTAGTAAAGAGTTAAAAAAAAAATTGATTAAAAATGTTTATATAAGCTGGGAAAAAATGTTTGTTTGATTAACAAAACGACTTGATCTAGTATAATGATAAGAGAATGTGTCAATCTATTTGTTTAGCATGTTGAGAAATTTTCAGTATTCTTTAGCTTGTTACAGAAGTTTCTTGTTGGAAAATCTTATATAGTAATTAGATATGCGGATTATGTATTTTTGTAGTATAATTTGAATTTTTTTACACTATTTATATTTACATTATTTGAATTGGGTAATTACTAATTAGGAGACGCCATATTTTTGTTACAAAAAGATAAAACTTATAAATATAACTTGAATTGTTGATAAAATTTCGTAATGTAATTTTATATTATTTTCACAATCCAAAATGTATACTATTCATAATATATTTTGTTGATAACGTTTGTTAGTGTTTATTATAAGTTCCGAAATTGTTGTTAATTTTAAAAAAGAATCCAAAAATTATTAATAGTATTTTATTGATTTAATTATAATAGTAAATTGTTTTTAGAGATTAATTATAAGTTATGCTATGTCATCATTTTTCCAAGACATGTCATATTTTTCATCCAATAAAATTAAAACAAATAAGCTCATTTACTAATTATACTTCTCTTTTAATAGGAAGGAGATGCCTGTTTAAAAGGTTACATCGTCCGATCGATACGCCTGCATCGTTCACTATATCGGACACTTGAGCTCACAGATGAATCATGACCACCTAAACCATCATATTTCTTCCGTGAGCCCCCTAGGCAGGATCCACACTTTCCCAACAAAGCGCGATCATCCTACCTAGGCCGAGTGAAAATGTCTATGGGTGACAACGTCCGATCAATGCGCATGCATCGTTCACTCTATCAGACTAAATGGGCTCGACGGATCCACACCTTCCCACCAAAGCCAGACCATCCCCCAAGCCCCAGGATCCATGTCCCCTACAAGACACGCCCACCCCAATAGTTTTTTATCGCCATCTGTCGCTCAAAAAAATCAGAAAAACTCGCTGGAAAAAATTCCGGTGATAGTCCGGCAACCACCTCTGGCAGACAACATCATCAATCGAGTCGACCATGCACCAGTATTCCCTCGATGATAACCCACCAGCTATCCCATCCGTCAGTCCCATTTGCTCTCAAGAACTACCACCCCCCTATATAGCTCTTATGCCATTTTCCGATCTGGCACCTGTATACATTAGGTGTGTCTGAGGAGTCACTACCCCTATAAAACAAAATACTTGGAATTTTTGTCTGATTTTTTGCATGCTTCATTATGATAATAAATACTATTTTCAGGTAAAGTTTAAGATTTTTTAAACAAGTTTTGCTATTTCTTTCTTATTTTACAAGAAACAGTTGATCATGGCCAAACCTGAGCTCCATGGAAACTTTTGTTCGTAACTTGACATCCTAAACTCTTTATCGATATATTTGTAAGGATTCCATCTAAAAAAATCACATACGTGAAGGCATTTTTCAAAATTTGGGTCGAAATGAAAATTTTGATCGACATATTGTTACCCGCGACACGAGAGATTTTCTTCCCGCGACATGAAAGATTTTCTTCCCGCGACACGAGAGATTTCCTTTCCGCGACACGAGGGATTT